TTCGGTACGACGGGCAATCTTAAATTCTATGTGTCGAGCACTACGTAGTCTCCTGAATGGTACGTGACTGGGCAGTGGTGGCGGTCAGAATTTCTTTTAGCAATGACATTTCTATTTTTAATTGCTTCAGCGGCTCTAGTGCGGGCAGCTTGCAGAATCTCCGCAATTTGATGTGCGCGTAGCGTTGGGTTGTCTAGACTCGGCGTCATAGGCACTGTTAGATTTTGCCCGTAGTTCAGGTAAAACGGGGACTGCTGCGTCGTTGCTGACATGGCGTTGTTGTAGGCAAACTCGATTAGTGGCAGCTGCTGCTCCCATGTTGTCGGATCGTTGCACGTGGCACGAATCAGCTGCTCCATGGTCTGGTTCGTCCGCTCCGTTTGACAATTGGTTTTGGGTTGGTACGATGTGCTAAGCTGTAGCCTCATCCCAAACCGCTCTCAAAGGCTTTTCCAGAAGTTGCGGTTGGTGAGTACGAGGGTACCCAGAAGCGGTTGGTGTCAGAATAACAAACAGGAATGAACGAACTAGCAGCAGGATAGGTACAATTAGGAAACCCTAATTAGCTTGCATCCCATATGGGCTACCCCACTACAGCCTACACAATAAGCAGCATATAAGTTTGACACACCCCTATAGGCAAAGTGGGGGAGAACAAAAGGTCACAAGACCAGTCAAGAAATGCAAAGCAAGCTCAGGGTGGATCACGAATTCACTACGCATTCTGAGCACAAGCAAAAGGCCACAAGGCCAGTTCACATGCAGAATTATATAAAACGGAGAACAAGCAGTACAGTGATCACAACCTAGCAAGTGTAAGCATGCAGGTATAAGTATATAGATCACAGTACAAGCAAAGTCAAGAAGTGAGCAACTGAGGCCAAGTAGGCACAAGGCCTAGAATAGTACAGAAACGCTGATGATCACAAGGCTGAAGTGCCTTGGTGAAGATATAAGCATTGTTGGCCTGAGAGGCCACGTAAACAAGATGAAGCTGACCACGCTGATGCAACTCTCGAGCAAGGAAGTAGCGCAGAGCGATGTGCTTCGTTCTGTGCTCCAGTATGTGCTCCTTACACAAGGCAATCATGGCCTTGTTGTCGACGTACAGAATTGGAGGAGAACGAGGCGGCTCTCCCAAGTCGGTCAGCAGGTAGGTGAGCCAGCGTAACTCCTCTACAGCCATGGCCCCTGCGTAGATCTTAGCCTCACAACTGGAGCTGAGAACAGAGGACGAGCGGGTAGACCGCCATGAAACAGAACCGGAGCCAAGGCTGAAGGTGTAACCCTGTGACGACGCTGCGTAGCCAAGTCGTCAACCCAAGAAGCGTCTGCGTGACCAGTGAGGACAACTCAAGCCCGTCCTCCAAGCACGAGCCCCATGCCCGACGTACTGCACAAGTAGCGCATCACCCTCTTAGCGGCCTTCCAGTGCTCTGGTCGGTGTCTCATGGGCGCAACGTAGCGTGCAAGGATGCTAAGAGGGTAAGGAAGGCCAGGTCGAGTGCAGGTCATCAGGTACATGAGGCAGCCCACAAGCTCTGGATACGGGCCACTCGGCTCCACGGACTCATCCAAAGGCAGAGCTGAGAGCGAGTGACCGGTAGGCAGAGGAGTGGACTGTGGCGAGGAGTACTGGAAGTCGAAGCGCTGAAGGACCTGCTGCACCATGTGTGACTGAGTCAAGGTAATGGTGCGCCGTGCTCTGTCCCGGGTGATCTGCAAGCCAAGATAGCTGCGCAGCTCACCCAGGTATGTGCACGTGTGTCTCTTCTGCAGCTCCGACTTCACGTGGGCCAGTCCAGCAGTGTCAGCAGTGGCAAAGACCAAGTAGTCGACGTACACAAGGATGTAGAGCGGCGGCAGCGAAGTGTCGGTTCGTAGAAACAGCGACGGGTCAACAGTAGAAGGAGCAAACCCAAGAGCCGCAAGAGTCGTCCTCAGTGTGTCGTGCCACTCATGAGGAGCCTGGAGGAGACCATAGACTGGCCGCCGGAAGCTCCACTGGGTACCTGCAGGAAATGACCCAGTGAAGCCAGGTGGGCGGCGCAGCCAGATCTCCTCGTGCAGGCTGCCCTGTAGGAAAGCAATGCTGGAGTCAAGAGAGTGAAGCTCGTAGTCACGCTGAGCGGCGACTTGCAGCAGCACCCAAACAGTGGTCATCTTTGGGGTAGGGGAGAAGGTCTGGAAGAAGTCAACTCCCTGTCGCTGACCGAAGCCTCGTGCAACGTAGCGCGCCTTGAAGACAGGCGGAGAACCCGGCGGCCGCTTCACCCTGAAAATCCACGTGCCACTGACGATGTTCGCCCCAGGTGGGGGAACCTCGTCGACGTAAGTGCCTGTGGACTTCCAGGATGCCATCTCTGCGTCCATGGCTGACTGCCACTGAGACGAGTAGGGACCCTTTATCGCCTCTGCGTAAGAGCGCGGGGTCGGGATGTCTGGTGCATCCGGGTCTCCCTCAGGTGCAATCAGCATGGACACGAGATGAGGTAAAGCAGCTGCAAAACACTCAAAGTCCTCCTGCCTGTCCTCAAGGACGTCCGTGCCAAGAGCACACTTACCCCCGACGGACGGAGGACAAACAGACTCAGACTCAGAAACAAGACTAGCGTCGTAGTCGAGACGACATGTAACAGCAAAGTCAACAAGCTCAGCAACTAGGGCAGACGCAGCAGTGGACTCAAACGAAGGGTCAGTGAGAATAGTGGCTAGGAGACGTGTGACAGTAGGGCTGGCAGCACGAAGTAAGCCAGCAAGCTAGGACACTGGACTGGGCTAGAACAGCAGCAGACTTTGTTATACTGACAGACACTAGGTTAGCTTCCAACCACACTTACTGGAGCTCGCTTACCTCTTTCACCGTAGCAGCGTCACCCGCTCCGACGAAAGCCAGTGGTGTAGCGCTCCTTTGCAGAAATCCTCACTTTAGTCTTAGAGACGTCGTCGCACACCCGTCCGGTAGAATACTGTAAGTCTGCGCAGCCGGTTTAGGAACAGAAATTATAGTTTTAGGTGTCTATTTCCCAGCCGACTCGGCCGCCAGGAACAGTTTTGTCACACACACATTCGGCCCGATCTTGGACCATATTTCCCCCTCGTCTCACCTTATCATAGCCGGTGATCTGAATCTTGTAGAAAACCCGACCCGTGACAAGTTCTCCAAGCTAGGCAGTTCTTACGAGAATGATAGGCTCTTCCGCTGCTATAGCGCTTTTCAGATCTCAGATGCGTTTAGGACCCTGCATCCTAGGAAGGAGTTTACATTTTACTTGAGAGCGAAGGCGGCGAGCTCTAGAATAGACCGCATTCTTCTCTCTCACTCACTCTTACCTCACCTAGAGACCGCGGCTCATATCATGCCAGAGGAGGCCATTTCGGACCGTGACTTTGCGGCCAAGATGGGGCTGCGCCTATTCCTCAAAGGCCAAATCCGGGCTGGGCCTCTGGAAGATGCCGCCTGACATGATTAATAAACCGGGTGTTAAGAAGATCATTAATGCCACTGTGAAGTGGACGCGGGTAATCGACGGCACCAGCTTTGAACTTCTCACCTCAAGGTTGAACGCAGGTCTCCGGTCTTACGCTCGGGAGGAAGGCAAACGAGTCCGCGCTACCACCTCACACCTTGCTGCTGCCGTCGCCAGGCTAAGGCAGGAGGCCATGGCGGACCCCCACGGTTTTGCCCACGGGGAGCTTCTGGAATCCAAAGTGAAGCAGCTGAAGGAGTACCACGCGGAGCGGAGGGAACGTATGCACATCTGCGCAGGGACAAAGGAGGAGATGGTTGGTGAAATAGCTTCAAAACACCTATCGGGGAAGATTCAAGCGCGGAAATCTAAGACGCAGACAGAGGAGCTGAAAATAAACGGGTCGGTAATCACGGACACCAAGGGCATTCTGGTCGCTGCCATCGAGCTTTTCTCTGGTATCTTCAGCGAGGACCGCCGGCGGTGTACAAGGAAGTGGAACCCAGCTCCGGCCAGGATCCTCTCACGGGATGCAGCAAGGGAATTGGAGGCGGACTGGACAGAGGAGGAAGTAAAAGTGGCTTTTAAGGCGATGGCGGTACGGAAATCTCCGGGCAGCGACGAAGCTGGGTAGGTGGAAGTCTCGCATGTCGGCACCACAACGAAGCTGTTAATCAATGGGTGGTTGAGTGAGAGAATACAGGTGCGGTCGGGGGTCAGGCAAGGTTGCCCTCTCGCCCCTTACCTCTTCCTATGCGCTGTGGAGCCGTTAGCGCAGCTGGTGGAAAAAAGGAAACTGGGGCTCAGTCTGGCGGGGCAGAGGCTGGCATACCTAGGGTATGCCGACGACGCAACACTGGTCCTGCAGGGGAAGAACCAGATCAAGAAAGCGGTAAAGGCGCTCACCAAGTTTGAGAAGGAATCTGGCCTGGCGACGAACAAGGGGAAATCGGTGGTGATGCCGCTGGGGGTAAACCTCATCTCGCACCCGATCGCATCCGACGGTTTCAAGTGGGCGGCAGCTGATGAAGCAGAACGTCTTCTGGGGGTCTGGATCACGCCGAATGGCAGCTGCATACCGACATGGGAAAAGGCGTTAGAAGACATTACGGGGAAGCTGCAGAAGTGGCATGAAAAGTATCTGACGGAAACCGCGAGAGGGTCGGTGGTGAACAGCTACATCTCACCGAAGATCTCTTTCCAGGCTCAGGTCTACCCTCCGCCGGACGACATCTGGTTGGAGATTAATAGGTCGTTGCACAACTTCGTCTCGGCGAACCGTCCGACCTCTGCAAAGGGGTTTATCCTCTGGCGCCGGGAGCTGGTGTACCTGCCAAGGGAGCTGGAAGGACTAGGAATGCGAGACCCGGGAATCCTATTAGCTTGCCTCTCGGCGAGACGAGCGGCGAAACCAATCTGCTGAAAAAGGACATCATCATAAAAGCAGCGGAACTACCGATGGGGGTGAACTCTTTCACGGCCCACAAGAACCTCATCCGCCACTGGACAGGCAGGGGGACTCGGTGGAAAATGATCTGTGAAACCATCCTGAAGTCGCCGTTGGGCGAGCGGCCTCTAGCGCAAGAAGCAGCAGATGTGGCGCGGGAACCGATTCTGTTCAACCGGCGCATTCTGCCCAACGGAAAGACACCGCTGGGAGGGCAGAAATCAGCAGCGCGGCTTAAGGATTGGAACCTGGGGAAGCTGAGGTGCACTGGGGCGGATGGGGCTCCTGCTTTCAAGTCGTTGGAGCAGTTGAAAACGGAACTGAGGGAGATAGAGCCGGCGAGGTTGGCGCTCAAGGCGTTGGAAGCAGTGCCAGAAGATTGGAAGAAGGCACCAGTGGCAACTGGAGGGGATAGCTCGGCTGCCTCACAGCAGCAACCGTTACCGTACGTCTTGAGCGAGGGGATCTTCTCGCTGAAGCAGATGAGGAAATTTTGGGGCTCTGGCCAAGCATCCAACAAGCAAGCGAAGTGGGGGAGCAGGTGGGGCAAGAGTATCGACTGGAGGAGAATCATTGCCATCAGGGACTCGCGGGTGATTCCCAACCGTCCACGTAGTGTGCTGTTAAGAATCCACGGCCTCAATCTTCAGGTGGGAGAGAGGGTGGCCTTCCTCCGCTGCAAGCCTGTCTGCCCATACTGTAGCGAGGAGGAAACCCTTGAGCACTACCTCTTCACCTGCCCGGTAATTCAATCGATCACCACCTCAATCCTGTGGGCCCTGCGCATGATGAACCCGGCTCTCCGCATTGCCTCGTTGGGTGACATGCTATTCAAGCGTGCTGGTTCTGACTCAGCCTTCCCAGAGGCAACTTTGGCTGCTATTGGCCTACATCAGATCTGGGTGGAAAGATGTGAAGCGGTGTTTCGTGGAAGGAAATTTAGAGCGCGCCGAGTTCTGCGACGAATTGAGCGGGCTTTCTATCTGCATGCAAGAATCTACCTGAGAGAGCAGCGGACAAAATTTTGGAAAGGGGCGGGAGTCACCCGGAAGAGCAAAGTGGGCAAGGCTACTGGCGGACGAGCAGCGACTGTTTGGCAACATCACGGTCGTGGATGGGAGGAAGTGGAGATGGACAAGCGGCTTTGCAGCCATTTGGTCCAAGCAGCGTAGGGCACGTGGCACAAGTACCCTTTAGGGTTCGGCTCACACTGCTCCCCTCAAGCACAGTTACGACTGTAGTTGATTTTATACACTTGCTCACTACGGTGTATTCTTTCAATTTAATATATATAAAAAAAAAAACGAAGTAAGCCAGACTCCGGGTCTAGGCCGTCAGCAAGGGAGGACGCAGGAGGAGACGGCAGAGGGACACGCAGTGGAACAGAGGAAGGACGAAGTGCCATCTGGTGCGTGCCGGGGACAGGAGGAAGACGCTGACGCGGAACACGATGACCAGTGCGAACAGCGCGAACAGGCGACGCAGGACGAGACGCAGGCTCACGACGCTCTGTAAGACCTTCGGGCTGCTCAGTGTAAGGAGAGGGAGCAGGCAGTGGGGAGGCTGGCTGTAACTGCGGCTGGGACTAGTCAGGCGGTGGACACAGTAAGGGAGGAGTAAGGTCAGTAGAAGGCGGGAGACCAAGAACCTGCTGAAGGAGTGGAACGAAGTACGGTCGCGGCTGTATAGCACCTCCAGAACCAGCGCCGACAGCACCAGTACCTCCAGCAGCTCCAGCTCCAGCAGCACCTCTAGCAGCTCCAGCTCCAACAGCACCTCCAGCTCCAGCTGCAGCAGCACCTCCAGCTCCAGCAGCTCCAGTACCTCCAGCAGCTCCAGTACCTCCAGCAGCTCCAGCTCCAGCAGCACCTCTAGCAGCTCCAATACCTCCAGTAGCTCCAGCTCCAGCAGTACCTCCAGCAGCTCCAGCTCCAGCAGCACCTCTAGCCCCAGCAGCGCCAGTACCTCCAATACGAGCACCTCCGGGACCAGCGGCTCCAGCACCTCCCGAAGCTCCAGCTCCAGCAGCACCACTCCGGAGGCTCCAGGGCCGAGCAAACCACTCGCGCAGCTGCGGTGGAGAGAGCGTCTCCCGACGTGACAAGACACCCGAAGGACCTCTAGAAGACAAAGTACCCCTAGGCGCAGCACGCTCAGGCTCAGCACCCCCAGGCTCAGTACCCCCAGGCTCAGCACCCCAAGGCTCCGCACGCTCACGCTCAGCACCCCCAGGCGCAGTACGCTTAGGCTCAGCACCCCCAGGCTCCGCACGCTCAGGCTCAGCACCCCCAAGCTCCGCATCCTCAGACTCAGCAACCACAGGCTCAGCACGCTCAAGCTCAGCACTCCCAGGCCCCGCACCCGCAGGCGTAGCACCCTTAGACGCAGCACCTCTAGTAGCACCAGAGTCGACAGCTACCTCGACAGCCTCGACAGGGTCTACCTGGGACACACCTGAGGGAGCAGGACCCTGAGGGGGGAGGGGGTCTACCGGAGGAGGACCTGGTGCGAGGAAGAGCGGCGGGGAAGGGAGAGGGGCAGTGCGGGTGATGTATATGTACATGTCACTGAAATTACATCAATTGCGTAATTTGTGCGGCACCAATAATGCCTACAGCACAACGCCTTAGGGTTACACTAGCATGAATGAAAATGCTGCGAAACGAGCGGATTTCGGCACGGGAGGTTTGTACGATCCAGAGGGAATAAACACTTCACAGTGACAAACTTCGAGCGCGTTCCTATCAAATCATCGATAACCGTGTTTTTGCCGCCTAACCGCCATGGCGCCGCCCCTCGCTCTTCTCGCCTCGCTGCTACTTTTCCAATTGACTGGCCTTACGTTTCGGCCATTCGCGGCGGCAGAACCGAGGAGCGGCGGGACGATGACGGTGGGGGTGGTGGGAGATACGAACCAGATGGAGCGAATAGCAATGCTGCATAAGGCACGTTGGGGCGCCGCCAGCGCCTTCCCCCGCCCGCGCCTTCTACCGCCCGCTCCTTCCCCCGCCCGTTCCTTCCCCTGCCCGCTCCTTCCGCCGCCCACGCTTCCCGTGCCCGCGCCTTCCCCCGGCCGCCCCTTCCCCCGCCCGCGCCATTCCCTGCCGGCGTCTAACCCTGTCCACGCATTCCCTCCCTTGTCGGCGCCTTCCCTGCCCGCACCCTCTCCTGCCTGCGCCCTCTCCTGCCCGCGCCTTCTTCTGCCCGCGCCTCCCCTGCCCGCGCCTTCCCCTGCCCTCACCTTCCCCTGCCCTCACCTTCCCCTGCCCTCACCTTCCCCTGCCCTCACCTTCCCCTGCCCTCGCCTTCTCCTGCCCTCAACTTCACTCCCCTGCCCTCACCTTTCTCCTCGCATAACTCGTCCATGCCCCTGTCTCTTCCTGCCCACATGCAGGCATGGGCAGTTCGCCTATGGCCTGGAATCCCCCTCTCTGCTGCCCCCCAATTCCATCTCTCTTCCACAGGGACCTTCCCAACCCGAAATATCTGACTCCATCTCATGGTCCCCATCTCCCCCTGCCCACATGCAGGCATGGCAGTCAGCCTACGGGCTGGACTCCCCCTCTCTGCTGCCGCCCAAGGCCATCTCCCTCGCGCGCAACCTCCCGCCGCCCGCCCACCTGGAGGACAGCACCACCCGCACGTCCGCCAAACAGGGCGCCGAGAGGGCCGGGGTGGCGTGGGCGGTGTCGGGCGGCAACGGCTCGTCCTGTTGTGGATGCTCGCCGCAACCACCATGGGTGAGCGGGTGGGTGGGTGGGTGGGGTGGGGGTGGTTGGGTTGGGTTGGTGGGTGCCTGCCTGGTAAGTATTGTCGTGGGAGTCACGAGCTCTGCTCGGCATAGTCAGGGTTTCCGGTTGGGGGTTTTGACTAATTCTAGAGTTTAGGAATGTGTTTTTGATGTGCGCACCTCCCTTCCCCTTCCGCAGGTGTGCGCTCCTCCCTTCCCCTTCCCCAGGTATGCGCGCCCAGCCTTTTCCACCCCATGGTCCCACCTCACTCCATTACCTCCCCCCTTTCTCTCCTCCCCTCTTCACCAGGTGTACGGCCCGAACGACAGCAATTTGGCTCTCACGCGCTCCGTGCAGCGCGACATCTGGCTCTCGCAGTTCCCCCCGGGCTTTTGCGATGGAAAACGCCTGCTCATTGTGCCCTGGGTGCTGGACAGTGGTTCGCAAGGGTTGGGAGGTTTGGAGGGGCTGGCTCTGCAGGTGCATTTGATGGGTGCGCTGCTGGGGTTGGCAGTGGAGACAGGGCGAGTGCTCGTCCCAGTCTCTGGCTCCTTCAGCTATGCCAACAAGTCTGCTTGTAAAGGTGCGTGCGTTTTGATCTAATCAGATGTGATGCACATCTATTGTTGCAAGCAGGGAAAAAGCAGGTGCACGTGTTGGATGCTCATTGGTGCATGTGATGCGTGCTCATTGGTGCATGTGATGCGTGCTCATCGATGCATCTGATGCATGCTCATCGGTGCATGTGATGTGTGCTCATTGGTGCATGTGATGCGTGCTCATTGGTGCATGTGATGCGTGCTCATTGGCGCATGTGATGCATGCGCTGCTGGGGTTGTTCCTCTGTTCCCTCCCTACATCCCGCCCTCCAGCCATGGGCAAGCAGGGCCAATGGGGGTGCTACTTCTCCCCCATCGCCTCCTCTGACTGCTCCAAGCGCGCTCAGAAGGAGATGCAGAGCGGTTCACTGCGGTCGTGGTGCAGCGGCACGCACATTCGCAATGTGGCCCTCTCAGCGGAGCCCCTTGTCTGTCTGCACCCCGACTTTGACCACAACGAACTGAAACTGCACACTGCTGTCGTCACGTGAGTGTGTGTGCACGCGCGCTTGTGCATGCATGCATGCATGCGTACGTGCATCTGTCTGCACCCCGACTTCGACCACAACAAGCTCAAGCTGCACGCTGCTGTTGCCACGTGAGTGCCTGTCTGTCCGTCTGTAGTATTTATGTCTACTCTGCATCTCTCGTCTCCTCATCCCCATATGTGGAGCGCACTGTCTGTCTGCACATCGACTTTGACCACAACGAGTTGTAACTGCATGCTGCGATTGTCTACCTGTGGAGCCCAGAGTCTGTCTCCACTTCAGACCCCACTTAGCCCGCTCCACGAATAGGCTCGAAACGGCACCGCGCGGCTGTCGCCACGTGGGTGGCTCTTTTGTGCGTCCCATTTTTTTTGTTCGCCATCCATCCGTGATCCATCCTTCTTGTTTTATTTCACACTTTCTTACTCATCACATCACGTGTCCCTCGCTCTACAGCAAATGGGGAGCGCCTCACCTGCAGCGTCCAGATACACTGTACTGCCCAACATGCCGCCCCCCCACTCCTGACAACCCCTCCCTCTCCGTGCCTCAGGTGAGTGTGTGTGCTCACTTGCAGCCACATTTCCTGCTACATCCTTAACCACAACAAATGTATGCCATTCCTCCTCCCATCTTCAACCCTCTCCTCTTGTAACCCCCCTCTCTCGTTTCCTAACCTCACCTGCTTCACATCCCATTGCATTCCACCCCACTCCACCGCGCTTTACCGCTCTCCACCTCCTCAGGTGCGCTGGTGCGGGCCCAGGCCACCCGATTCCTCATGCGCTGGCCCTCGCTGCATCTCTGCCACGTCACCAACCTCATCCCCCACGTCAGCATCAGCCACCACGTAGCTGCCAGGCTGGCATTCTTCGAGGACACGCAAGCAGAGATCATAAGAGACGTGGCTGCTGACACGGCAGGGGAAAGCACGAGGTCAGATGTGAGGAAGAGCAAACAGGCGAAGGACCTGCAAGGCATGGAGTTGGGTAAGGAGGTGGAGATCGAGAGTGTAAACAAGGTTTTCTAGGCTACTATAGGGGGAAGGTGCAGTGTGTGTGAGGAGGAAGGGTGGAAAGGGGAGGTGATGGCAGGGGGTGGGGAGGTTGAAGATAGCTTGGATATGCAAGCAGGAGTGAGAAGTGCTAATGTGAAGAAGGCAGGGTTGGAGAAGAAAGAGAAGCACGTGCTCTACTATGTGCAGAAGCAGAACAACCTCGTCATTGGGGTGGGTCGAGAGCCGTACGTCATGCGGCCGCTAGCGAGTCTGATTATAGGGGGTACGTCTGAAGGGGGAAATGGAGAGGGGAAGGGAGCGTCAAGGGGGGACGGAGGGCGACATACCAGCGCTGCAGCAGGGCGGCCTGCCAGCGCTGCATTCGCAGGTGAATATCTGCGCAGGTGTCCACCTGCCGAGTAGGTGCAGGTAGACGGTTGCACCGTCAGAGACATTGTGCAGGTGCCAGGTAGAAAACGTTCCAATGGTTTTGTCAGGTGTCCACCGTCGAACACGTAATGCCACTCCGCGGGTGAAATTTCGCTAAGAGCCACCTGAGCGAATTTCGCATGCCTTCGCAGAGTTTCGCAGTCGCGCGAATTCGGCCAGCCAATTCGCCGAGATGAGACTCGCCGAACAGCGCCCTTCGATCAAAGAACGAGGCTCTTCGGACTGCACCTCGTCTGTCAGAGATCGCGCAACTCACTAGCAGATCAGAGGACGAGCTCGTTGAACAGCACCCCATCGACCAGAGCTCGTCGATGGGCTGGTGAATCAGAGGACCACCTCCTAGAAACCCCACCGCGGTTTTAGAGGACGGGCTGATCCAATGCGTCAATCACTTTATCGAATTCACCACGTCGTCGCAGAGAATGCCTGCGCCCAAGCGAGGGCGAGGCCTTTCACTTCGACACTCCCTTGCCCAGCTCAAGCTTGGGCCCCCACACACAAGGTCCACCCAGAACCTAAGTAGTAGAATGCAAGGGGATATTTCTCTGGCGTGCACACCCCCGCACGCCGATCACCGCACTAGCCATGTTAGAGGACATGGCACCTACTGCTGCACGTCGTCATCATCGTCGCCGATTTCGGCAAGGTGAACCTGGCCGACCGTGACAGAGCACCGGTTGAAGGCCGGAAAATGCAACGCCTTAGTGAGGAAGTCCGCCTGCTGCTCGGAAGTTGGGATGTATTCCAGCGCAATCTTCTTGCGCTTCACCATCTGCTGCAGCCAGGCGTAACGTCGCTCCATGTGCTTGAGGTTGCCCTTCAGCCCCAAGCCCTCAGCAACTGCGATGGCGGAGTGATTGTTCACGTTCAGAGCAGTCGGCGTCCCAGGGTCGAGGAGCTGGAACTCGGCGAGGAGGAATCGAAGTCGACGAGCCTCCTTGCCAGCTTTAGTGGCCGCGATGTACTCCGACTCCGTAAAGGACAGAGTTACGCACTTGATGCGTTGGCTCGTCCAGGAGACAGCTACGCCACCGAAGGTGAAAACGTAGCCACTCGTGCTGCTACGAGTCTGCTTGTTGCCAGCGTCGTCCGCGTCTGCGTAGCCGACCAATTTCAGAGTTTCGGGTCCGCTGCCAAACTCGAGAGCAGCATCGCGCGTGTTAGCGAGATAGGTGAGACAGCGATCGACCTCGCGCCAGTGCTGGTCGCTCCTCACCGTCAGTCCAGACCCCAGCTTGCTGCACGTGAATGCAATGTCGAGCCGAGTTGTCGTGGCGGCAATCTGCAGCGAACCGACCTTCTGACGGTACTCCTCTTCTTCGCACGACTGGAAGTCCTCGTCGTCGAAAGTCAGCTCCGCGTAAGCGTCAACGGAAACAGGCGTCTTCGAACGCTGATCAGTCTGCTCCTCGTCGATGAAGCACCTACGCAGCGTGTTGACGTAGGACTGCTGGTGCAGCCACAGCTTCCGCGCCGGATGGTCGCGCACGATTTCGAGCCCCAAGTACTTCTCGACCGGGGTGATCTCGCGCAGCTCAAAGGCAGCCTCCAGCAGCTCCTTCAGCATCGCGGTGCTGTTGCTAGCGGCGAGCAGGTCGTCGACGTAGACGAGCACCCAGCACGCCACTCCGTCGTCGCCAACTTCCTGGAAGTCCACAGGCACCTACGTTGACGCTGTCCCCCCTCCTGGGGCGAACATCGTCAGTGGCATGTGGATCTTCAGGGTGAAGCGGCCGCCGGGTTCTCCGCCTGTCTTCAAGGCGCGTTACGTGGCTCGTGGCTTCAGTCAGCGGCAGGGAGTTGACTACTTTCAGACCTTCTCCCCCACCCCGAAGATGACCACTCTTCGGGTACTGCTGCACGTTGCTGCTCACCGTGACTACGAGCTGCACTCTCTTGACTTCAGCACAGCTTTCTTGCAGGGCAGCCTGCACGAGGAGATCTGGCTGCGTCGCCCACCTGGCTTCACTGGGTCTTTCCCTCCTGGTACCCAGTGGAGTCTCCGGCGTCCAGTCTACGGTCTCCGCCAGGCGCCACGTGAGTGGCACGACACACTGAGGACTACGCTTGCGGCTCTTGGGTTTGCTCCTTCTACTGCCGACCCGTCGCTGTTTCTACGCACCGACACCTCTCTGCCGCCGTTCTACATCCTCGTGTACGTCGACGACTTGGTCTTTGCCACAGCTGACACTGCTGGACTCGCCTACGTGAAGTCCGAGCTGCAGAAGAGACACACGTGCACAGACCTGGGTGAACTGCGCAGCTACCTTGGCTTGCAGATCACCCGGGACAGAGCACGCCGCACCATTACCCTGACTCAGTCACACATGGTGCAGCAGGTCCTTCAGCGCTTCGGCTTCACGTACTCCTCGCCTCAGGCCACTCCTCTGTCTACTCGCCACTCGCTCTCAGCTCTGCCTTCGGATGAGTCCGTAGAGTCGAGTGGCCCGTACCCAGAGCTTGTTGGCTGCCTCATGTACCTGATGACCTGCACACGACCTGACCTTGCATACCCTCTTAGCATTCTTGCACGCTATGTTGCTCCTGGGAGACACAGACCAGAGCACATGGCTGCAGCGAAGAGGGTGTTGCGCTACTTGTGCAGTACGTCGGGCATGGGGCTAGTGCTTGGAGGGCGGAGTCCAGTGGTCCTCACTGGGCACGCGGACGCTTCTTGGGCTGACGACCAGGCTACGCAGCGGTCGTCACAGGGTTACACCTTCAGCCTTGGTTCCGGCTCTGTTTCGTGGCGGGCTACTCGCTCGTCTTCTGTTCTTGGCTCGAGTTGTGAGGCTGAGATCTACGCCGGGGCCATGGCTGCACAGGAGCTTCGCTGGCTCACCTACCTGCTGACCGACCTTGGAGAGCCGCCTCGTTCTCCTCCAGTCCTGTACGTAGACAACAAGGCCATGCTGGCCTTGTGTCGAGAGCAGCGACTGGAGCACAGAACAAAGCACATTGCTCTCCGCTACTTCCTTGCTCGTGAGCTACAGCAACGTGGACAGTTGCGGCTTGCGTACGTGGCCTCTGAGGCCAACACTGCTGATGTCTTCACCAAGGCACTTCCGCCTTGTGATCATCAGCGCTTCTGCACTCAGCTGGGTCTTGTGCCCGTCTTGCCTCACTTGCTCTCCTCTTGACCTTGCTTGTACTCTCACATATATATATACCTGCTCTTGCTTGTCTAGCTCTATATATATGTGTGTACTCTTGCATGTGAACTGGTAGTGTGGCCTTGACCCTGTGCTCGGACTGTGTGGTGACTTTGTGATCCACCCTGAGCTTGCTTTGCTTTGCTTTGCTTGACTGGTCTTGTGACCCCTTGTTCTCCCCCACTTTGCCTATGGGGGTGTGTCAGAACATTATAGCTTATGCTGTTGTGTAGGCTATAGTGGGGTATCCCATAGGGGGTACAACCAATTAGGGTTTCATATTTGTACTCACTTCATTTTCATAGTTCATCCCATTCTCGTTCTCATTCTCACATAGGTGTAGGTAGATGGTTGCACCGTCGAAGACATTGAGCAGGTGCCAGGTAGAAAACGTTCCGACGGTTTCGTCAGGTGTCCACCGTCGAACACGTAATGCCATTCCGCGGGTGAAATTTTGCTAAGAGCCACCTGAGCGAATTTCGCATGCCTTCGCAGAGTTTCGCAGCCGCGCGAATTTGGCCAGCCAGTTCGCCAAGATGAGACTCGCCGAACAGCGCCCTTCGATCAGAGAACGAGGCTCTTCGGACTGCACCTCGTCGACCAGAGCTCGTCGATGGGCTGGTGAATCAGATGACCACCTCCTCGAAACCCCACCGCTGTTTCAGAGGACGGGCTGATCCAATGCAATGATCACTTCGTCGAATTTACCACGTCATCGCAGAGAATGCCTGCGCCCAAGCGAGGGCGGGGCCTTTCACTTCGACAGGGTTGCAATACTCGGCGGCCGCGCAAAGGCGCCAAAAGGGCGCGGATGGTGTTGAACCTGGGTGTTTGTTCCTCACCGCATTCTCCGATGCCTCTTATGGATCGGAACCAGAGGACATGACAAGTGTGGGAGGCTTCATCTGCTGTGTTTGTGGAGGCCCAACTTCTTGGGAGAGCAAGAAGCAGACTGATCAAGCATTGAGCTCGGTGGAGTCCGAGTACATGGCACTCTTCCGTGCCGTACGGGAGATTGTGTGGCAGCGGCGATTGTTGGCTGAATTGGGGGAGGAGCAGCAAGGACCTACCCCTGTCTACTGTGACAGCCAGGGTGTCATTCCTCTTACTAAGAACCCTGTGTTGCATGGCCTCACGAAGCACATGAGGGTGAAGTGGCATTGGACGAGGAGCATGGTGGCCGCGGGTGAAGTTGAGTTGCGCTACGGACGGGGCAGCCGGCTGACATGATGACCAAGAGGTTGGTGGAGCAGCAGCATTGGAAGTGTTGCAAGCTGGCTGGAATGGCCCTGAACTGAGAGGAGCAGTTCCTAAGCCCAACAATTCGAGGGGGAGTTTGTTGGTGCAACCCTACGGTTTGAACTCGGCTTGTTGTCCGTGTGCGTGCATGCGTGTATGCATGGAATGGAATGAGGGCATGGGATAATATCTATTTCATGCTTATACCGTATATTTCCAGCTAGAAGACCCGGGGGACTCTCTAGAATTGCTTGAAAAAATGCTAGGGTGGACATATTGGCGGTTGCAAAATTTTATGACCCGGGGTACACTTATTTATCATCTATCAATCTGTTATTTGGGTGTACAGCTCAATTTGGGGCGGGGGGGTCATAAATTTTGCGCGAGCGGCACGTCAGATCTGTGTCAGAATTCGAGTCTGACACAAGTAAAGTGTCAGAATTCGAGTTTGACACAAATAACGTGTCAGAATTCAAATTTGCGCCAGTAAAGACTGATGCACAATAGCATTAATAACTACTGTATACAGTAAAGGGGGGGTCTTATGATAATTAGAGGCAAAGGGGGGGTCCTCACAAAATCTGCCACAATAAGAGTCCCCCTACCCATTCAAGAGTCCCGGGGGACCTCCTTACCGACGGATCTTTTAGCCGGAACTATACGGTAGGAGTGTGTGAATGTTGAGTCATGATGTCGAATTTGTGTGTCGAGTCAATAGCGGGTTATCTCTAGTCGTGTCCCGCGCGGTTTCTATTTTTTCGCTTGTGTGTCTCGCGCGGTTTCTATTTCGTCGTGTGTGTGGAACATTCTGCATGTCGCAGGTGTGTGCAGCAGACCCATCAAGATCTCGAGGATGAGTTTGTGGTGAAGAACCAGAGCCTTGGTGTCAAGATTCAAGTGATCGCGAAGCTCGCAAAAAAGGGTACACCTCAAGATATTGAAAATAGTTACAATACTTTGTGTAGTGTAACATTTCACTTGGTGTAGGCCCTAGTGAAGGGTAGTTTCGAGACCCTTCGTGGTTGGGGACAGTGTGGCATTGTTCGACATCATTATACCTCGGCTCTTGGGGTTCGTAGGAGCTGGGAGTCATTCCCAACTCGTAACTCTTCCGATCTTGTGTTCTAAGCCCATATTGGCTGCCATAGTGCCGTTTGTTCAAACCGACGCAGTGTCGTCAATACTTGGTGATATCGTGCGATCTAAATTGCCTGTTGTAGGTGACTTTAAGACGCTCCAGATCCAAGTTGAATCAGGTTATTTGAAGCTGTGACCAGAACACTATGAATGTTTAAAGCCGCTGTGCAGAAATCCGACTGTGCACTCTATCTTTCGTTTTAGGCACATTGAAGCCTATTGCGACTATAACAGCTTTACCTACGGTTTACCTAACCCCGAACCTGCACCTAACCATTCGCGGTCCCGCGACATCGACCTAGCTAACCTTCTTTAGATTAGTGCTAGGATTCATTTGTCAATAAGTAGTTGTAACCACTTCCGCGTTATTGAATCCTGGACCCTTTTATATACAACACGTAACAATTCATAACCCCAACAACATTGCATTGTTCACCGTACGCGTTATGGAACCTCTGTTTGTTTGTTACCACTCGCATGTTTTCCCTTCTTTCCTCGCGGAGGTGCGACCTGTGTGACGTGATGTTTGCGCCCTGCTGACGTCAAACCAGGCTTTATCTGATAGTCCACAATCAGGGCAAGAGCCCGTCTAGCTGGTCTGGTTGCGCACGTATTCCTTGCCTAAGTTCCTTCGTTATTGCGCCAGAGGGCTCAGTTCCTTCATCTACTTCCGCTAGTTCCGCGAAATTAGCCATGGTAGCCAACGCGAATGCAGCGCTATTTCGCACAATGCTTCCGCGCCATTCGAATAGCTCAAATAGGCAGACCATCATCAGCAGTTCCATCATATGCTTTCCGCATTTTCCTGCATTCCTAATTTATACTCCCACGATCGGCACATCTCGCAACGTACTCACGAGCTGGGTTAGTAAGCTATCTCAATCGCTGCCAACATCTGCGCACGGATTCTGCCCCCATCATCTGCCACCGACGCTCCAACATCTGTTTCAACGGCGATTTGCCGCTGTGACGTAGTCGCGCGCGCTCGTCGCGGTCTGACGCTCCATGACGACTGATGGAAACCATGTCGATTCGCAAATGCCGCACGTACCGGAGACCATGTGCGCGTGGCAGTACTTCAAGCACGGCGGCGGGGCTGATGCACTCTCGGTGCGTTTCATTGCACCCGTGCCCGAATCATCCGAGGCTCTCTTCTTTTCTTGTAGAAGTTGCTTTTCTGCACCGAGTCATGAGCTTCCTCATGCTTACCACGTCTCCTTGCTTCCCCTTGCTTTCGTACGCCCAGACATGCTTCGGTAGCTCACGGGCATTCCATTCCGCTGCCATCGTCGCATCGCGATGTGATGCTTCAGATCAGATTATCGACGTACCCGCATCATGATCTGAAGCATGACGCTTCTTTGGTTCGCGTGCGCAAGGGCGAGCGAGTGATACTTCAAGGCTTGAATGGTTTCTTCCATCCCCATCTCCCTCACTTCACCAATTAAACGACAGAATCCCTCTGCCCATGCCGAGCAAGGGCGAGGTGCTCGTGAGAGAGCGGGTGATAGGCTTCATGCAAAGCTCCCTATCATCTGCTTGCTGCTGCATTATCCCTGTCCCGCACCTCCTTCACTTCACCAGTATGGCAACGTCCCCGTGTCCAAGCCGGGCAAGGAGTCTACTTTTGAGGCGCCTCAAGGGCAGAAGTGCTGCTTTGCGTGTGCGCGGCGAGCAACTTCAACCTTAATGTTTTCTCCCCATCCCTCACTCCTCCTCACTTCACCAGCTGAATAACAACGTCCCCGTTCCCATGCCGAGCAAGGGCGAGGTGCTGGTTCGCGTGCGCGCGGCGAGCATCAACCCGGGCGACTGGAAGGTGCAGTCGGGCCTCATCCCCTTCCTGCCGCGCCGTTTCCCCGCCACAGCTGGTGAGAAAGCGTGCAAGCAGCTGCAGAAGATGAATGTATCTAAGAATTACTTTCGAACGCGGCAATTAATTGAAAGGTGCACTTTAGTCTCATCCCCTTCCTGCCGCTGCGACTCCCTGCCACCGCTGGTGAGAGCTGTGCTTGCACTGCCTTGTGTGCTCACTGCCTTATGTCCTCACTTACTTGTGTCCCCTTACCTGGCTGTGCGGTTCCCCCGCTGCTGGCGACTACCTGCATGCATTTTTTCTCGCCACCTTGTCATTCACCCTTCTCAACGCACACTCGAATCCGGAATCATTGTTTGATTTTCCTAAATTACCTTCCTCCATGCAGGGTACGACCTGGCAGGCAACGTGGTGGCAGTGGGGCCGGGCGTTACCAAGTACGCTGTGGGAGATGCCGTTTTTGGAAAGGCACCGTTCTTCGTACGTTCCGTAACCACAATATTCTGCTTTGATCTTCGTTCTTCCGATCGCATCCACTGCACTGCACCTATCTCCACCGCTCTGCGTCGCATCCGTCTCTTATGACATGCGACCATTTGCCTTTCAACCGCGGACAAAGCCTGAACCACAAGCAATCCAACCTCTCGTTCAAACTCTGGTGGTTGGTGTTTTCACTGCCACTTCTCTTCCATACACCCTCCGTGCGTTATCCATCCTCTCTGGCCCCATTCTCGTTCACTCTCTCAGAAAATGGGCACTCTGATGCACTAGAGCTCTGGCCCCGCTCGGGTTCACTATGCAGTCATCGACCAAGCTCACCTCTTGCTTGCGTTCCCTTCTCATTTGCTTTCCCATACCTCTTGTGTATTCTCATTGCTCTTCTCTCAGAAAATGGGCGCCCTGGCTCAATACGCCATACTGGAAACTGCCCGCAGTGCACGCAAGCCTTCCTCCCTCACCTTTGAGTCTGCCGCTGCTCTCCCCGTCGGTCTCACCGCCCTGGAAGCCGTGAGGGACGGCGCCGGCCTGCCCCTTCCTGCAAGCCCGGAGGAACCCAAACCGGGTTGTAAGTCGCCTCAAAATTTGAGTGTGGAGTGCAGCCCTGATAGCAGTGGTAAGGGCGAGAACAGCAGCAACAGCACTGTTTCCGGTGCCAGCACAAGCAGGAACGACGGTAGCGGGAAGAGGGCGCGAGTGCTGGTGGCGAATGCGTCGGGGGGAGTGGGGCATATGGCAGTGCAGCTGGCAAAGGCAGCAGGGGCACACGTGACTGCCACTGTAGGTGCTCGCAACCTCGCCTTTGCACGGAACGTGCTTGGAGCAGACGAGGTGTTTGATTACAACTCAACTGCAGGGAAACAGCTCTTTGCTTTATCAACCACATCCCCTTCGCCTGTGATCAGCCTTTCTGCTCCTGCTGCTGCACAGGTTTCTTCATCTGCCAATCCGCCTATCTCTGGGCAGTATTATGTGGTGATTGATTGCTCGCCCACCAGCCTGGCAGTCTCTGCGGTGGGCAGGGTTCTCCGTCCCCAAGGGAGGTGGGCGCATGTGGAGCTTCCGCTCTCTCTGCTCGCTCTGGGACTCTGGCGCCGCTTGGCTCTTCGCCCGAGGAAACTGCATCCTGCTATGATGGCGAACAGGGAGGGTGATCTGGAGGTGCTGGGGAGGATGGCGGAGGAGGGGAAGGTGAGGGTGGTGGTGGAGAGTACTGTGGCGTTTGAAGAGGCGAGAGAGGCGTGGAGGAGGAGCATGGGAGGGCATGTGACGGGAAAGGTGGTGGTTAGGAGGATGGAGTGAAGGGCTACAAAGGTTACAGCTAGAGAAATCAGTCGCATGAATGTATCTTTTATGGTACCTTAGTTGAATTCTTCAATTGACTTCCAGAAAGCAATCTGTTTATCAGGCTAGCCCACTAACCACCCTTTATGTGAAACAAGTTATTATGAACCACCCCATGAAGGAGCATACATATAAAACTGATAGGAGTGCATACAAGTAAATCTGCACCTCATACTCCCCTCTCACAAACCCACTCCCCCGCTACCCATTCCCTTTCCACTAACCCACTCTGGTCCCACCCCCCTCCCACCCGCTACCACCTAACGTTCAGCCAGTCTCATGCTCAAAAGCACCTTCACCCCACTGCTGGCGCCAGCTTGCTTTCGACAGCCACTTATGAATTATGTCTTCCTCACGCTCTCTACTTGCCTACTTAGCCTCGGCCATGAGCTTCTTGAAGTTGGTCTTGCTCGAGTACAGCGTCTGCGGCTTCCAGTCGGCGGGAAGGACATTCGCGAGCGTGATCTTCTCGAGGGTGTGTCCCGCAGTCAGGCGAACGCTCACCGCCTTCTTCGCGCCCACAACCTCCTTCGCCTCCTTGCCCTTGATCCCCCAGATCGCCTTGCTGCCGTCGCGCGTCAGCTTCGCCCACTTCTTGCCGTCCGCGCTAATCTCGACCTCTTTGAGCGTACCGGGGCCGGCGAGACCCACCATCTGAATGTTGAAATCCTCTGCCGTCGAATTGCGGCGCACGCGCACCGCGGATCCGAGGGTCGAGTGGCAGTTGGTGCGCTTGTACGTGATGCCGACGGGGGTGGCAACGGAGACTCCCTGCACGATCTTGGACCACGACACGGGGGAAAGCGAAATCTCCTTCTCCGTGGTCGTCGCGCCAATGACGCGGACCGTCACGGTCGCCTTGCCGCTGCGGCAGTGCTTCGTGTCGTTGGCGCAAGTCACCTTGTAGCACGCGCCGCAGCGCTTGCCGAAGATGGCGGGAGGAAGCTTCACGGTGAGCCCCTTGCCAAAGTAGGGGTTGGCGGTGTAGTTTGCGTAATAGGCGCAGGTGGAGTCGTTTCCTAGCCCCGAGCTCTTGCTCTGCCTCGCCGTCGCCGCCACGGCACGCGTGGTTGCGTTTGCAGAGCCAATCGCGCCAGCAGCAACCCCCTTAGCATAAGCAGTTGAGTTAGCAGGCTTAGTCGCGTTGGCAGGCGCAGTCGCGTTGGCGGGTTTCCCGGCGGCAGAGACGCGCGCAGGGGCGGAAAGGAGCACTGCAGAGGCGATGACGACTACGAGGAAAGTCACGGCCTTAGCGGGTGTGTGGCTGAAGAGAGTCATTCTCGCTTCGTGTGTATCAATCGAGGCTAAAACGGTCGAGCTGGTGCTATGATTAGACAGCTTTGAAAAGCAGAGGGTACTGATGATATGAAATTGCTGATGAGATGAGCGGCAGTGGTGGTTCCTTTTATAACTGCATTTCTGCTGTGTCGAGGGATGGCACCATGAGTCGCGGGCAATTGACTTGGCCGTACTTTGGTCTCAGCAGTACGAGTCGCCCAGGGAGTCACACCGACATTGTTACGAGTAATTGCGGATTCAGTGCGGGGGGTGGCGAGCTAGCGACGGTCGGCAGCAAGTTCACGATTTTTCCCGAGTGTTCGCGAATACTGGATACGGAATCGTTCAGAGTTTTGCGAATAATAATTGTGACGGAAACATACTGCAGAGATTGATTTTCCTGCGCATGCGACGGCGCGATAGGCGCGAAGCCTTGGAGTGGTGTGATTATTGACTGTACTCGTTTCGACGACCCATTTTTACAACAGATTTTGTTCTCGTTACAACATCAGTTCCAATAATTAAGATGGGCAAGAATACTCCCACAGCTTATGTTGAGCGATTTCTAGAGTTTGGTTCAATTTAATATACCCATTTTGTTCAAAGATAATACGAGAATACTCTACAGTTATGTCATCCTTGTTTTTTTCCACATATGATTCTTGGTGCATTTCATGGGATGATATCGCGCAGTACACCTTACGATATCAGGGTAAAAGATCCGGATACCCTGATATTGCGCAATTCGCACCAAACTTGTGCAACGGAGGTTCATCGTGCCAAAAGGGATCACACAATCACTGCGGCGCTCGGCAATATTAAAGACAACAGAGACTTTGAGACGAGGCTGGTGAGGCAGATGCAGACAACACCAACCGTTTTGCATCCTCAGAAAATCTTACCCCACTCCTTTTCAAACTATCCATAATGATTGTTTAGGCTAAAGTGGGGTAGCCTGTAACCATTTTAGGGTTAGTACTTGTATTACCTGTGTTTCATAGTTCATCATTCCCTTGCCTATAATCTTAACGTGGTATCAAATTCTAGGTTAGGTCCTAGTGCCGTACCAACTGCCGTACCTATGTTAGGTCTGCCCCACGCTGCCCCTCGCGCACTGCCATTCTCGCACCGCCATGCGCTGCCCTTCGCTTGCACCCCACAGTGCCCGTCGCATGTGCCCTGCGCTACCCTTCGCGCGCGCCTTACGCTGCACTACGCACGCGCCCGTGCGTTGCCTTTCGCGCACGCCCCGCGCTGCCGTCGCGCGCGCCCCTGTTCCTGTCACTATGGCCGACCCCACCTCGTGTCCCGTCATTGCTTGTAGCGCCACTATTCTCCCATGTCCGGCAGTTCCCCCTGGCTCTCTCACAGGACTACACCTCCCATCGTTCGCTACGAACTTGGTGAGTGCAGACCACCTCGAGGATCTTCTTGTGACCACCACGATTCCTGGAGGCAAGCGAATTGCGATTTGTACAGACACAGCAACAGGAGATCACCTAACCACGTACACACGGAGGCCTGGGTCTGGATTGTTCACACTCCACACTAAGTCCCCCCAGGTGTGTCCGTCAAGCCAGGTAGCTGTGTCTTGCTCGTGTCGCCACCGCCACCAGTCCCTCAACTTGCACCACCGCCTTGGTCACCCCTCCCTGCGTCTCCGTCGTATGCACTCACCTCGCCTTGTCTCTGGGCTCCCGCTGTCCCTGCCCCCGCTCCCGCCGTCGCTTGCATCGCCGTAGACTCCCTGCATCGAGGGGCGGCAGCGCGTCGATCCTCATTCCTCCTCGTTTCCTCCAGCCACTGCTCCTCTGTAGACGCTGAACATGGACGTGTGGGGGTGCCCTCGTCAATCGGCCGCGCCAGGAGCGCTACTTTTTGCTTGTCGTCAATGTCTGTTAACAGGAATAGAGTGTTGGCCTCGCCCTAGCTTGGGCGACGCCGACGTCCTGGTCGGATGTACGGGAACAGCAGCCGACCGTACGTAGTGAAGGAGCTGCTCGATGGGCCTCGTCGAGCTGCAGAGGATCGCTACGGTGTTGCTGTCGACCAGGGGGGGCTCGACGGCCTTCTTCTGCGGGGCAGGTCGACGAGGTGGTCGTCGACCTGCACAGGACTGTCGCAGGGTTGGAGCCGTCGACCAGGGGTGCTCAACGTGTGCAGCTGATCGAGCTAGACGACGGACGGGCCGTCGACTAGGAGGAGCAGCTGAGCGTGCTGGTCGACAAAGGGGTCCGTCGACTAGGGTGTTCCTCGACGGGAGCTGTGGTCGACAAGGGAGGCGTCGACCAGAGCACTGGGTGGTCGACCAGGTAACCTTCTCGGCGAGTTCTACGGAGGCATGCGAATGTCGTCGAGGCTGCGATGGCGAAGACGACTTCGGGCTGGTATCCAGAAGTGATGTGGCTCGTCAGGCGTAGACCAGGGCCGACGGATGCACAACGGTGCTCGTCGAGCGAATCGTCTGCGCGCACCTGCAGACGTGCACAATGCTGTCTTCTACGGGTGCAGTGCTAGACAGCCGCTCTACTGCAGCGTTGGCACGGCATCGACTTGCTATGTTGGCAGGTCGTGTTTTTTGCAGTGCTGGTGCGGCTCCTCTACGCGACGCTGGCAGGCGGTCGACCATGCTGTGCTGGCGGTCGACCAGGCTAGTTGCAGAGTTGTTAGGTGCCTGATGTAGTCATTCTTGTCATTGTCATTGCTATCATTATGTAATTCCAACTTTGCTAGTGGAAACCCTTGCCGATTTCTCCCGTGAATGTGCAAGTGCTAAGGAACTAAGCGAAGCTACGATCACTTTTTGAGTTCGTGCCAACACCCCGTAGTCTAGCTCACGACTATTGTAGAGTGACTCTCCGCATTGTAGAGCGTGGACGGCCCCGCAGATTACATTCGGATAGGAGCCGAATTTTGCACCTACTAAGTCGTTCGTAGGCCGGTAGCAAGTGCAACCATGACGCCTACCCTGCCAACGGCCGGCGCGGTAGAGGACACCTTGGAGGCACGTTTGGCTGATGCGAGGAAATGCCACGAGGATGGTGAGTACGGGACGATCCCCTTGGTGATCGCGGAGTTGGGCATCCGGACGCAGTGGGCGACGAAGCACCCTTTCCGTCCGCATCTCCTCGTCTGGTGCGAAACGATGGTGGCATCGATGAACAGGTCGACGGCGGTGCATGAGTCAGCGGCAGCGAGGGCACGAAAATGAGAGTGGTGATCAAGGTCGACGGTGGCGTCGACGGGAGTCAGGCGCTAATGCAGCTGTCGATGACGGCTGCAGGCAGCTCACGTGTCGACGTCTATGCTTGACGTTGCTCACCTCAATGAAGCAATGAAAGGCCTATGTTGACGGGGCACGTGATGGTAGGCGGGAACACGCTGGCTTATGGTCACTTCAAGTTCATGCTGGACAAAATCACCGCCACGCCACTTCAAGGGCGACGGGACCTCATCACCTGGAGGGAGGCGATGGAACCTCAACTAGAGGTTGCTAGGCTGAAGGGCTTTGCCGACGGCACCGTGCCGATTCCGTTCGAGGACGAGGTTGAGTTTCGTGGCGCTCACCGGCTCACCTTCATGGTCATCTCGAGGTGCTGCTCGCTGGTGGTGCAGATAGCGCTCAAGTCGTGTCGAGAGCGACTGGATGCCGGTCATCAAGCGTAGCACTTCATCCTGTC